AATAGCCACCTTCAAAAACATTCCACAAGATACAAAAGAACCAGCATAGAAAACTCAAGTCTACAAAAACAATAAAACAAGCAGGATGTTTTACTTAAAATGAAAAGTATTTAAATGACCAACAATAACCGAAGTCTTGGAGTTGCATAAGAGTGCGAAAAAAATGAAACAGATACCTTTAACAACAGATGTGATCGAGCAGAAGACAGAATCGGTGACCCTGAAGGTAGGTCATTTCAAGTTACTTAGCTGAGGAAGAGAAAGGGCAAAAATGAAAAAAAGATGCTAAGACAGCCTAAGGGACAATGGGACATCAACAAGTGGAAAAAAAAAAAAGCAAGACAAAAATAATAACACAACATCCAGAGGGGGCAGGCAGAGTGGAATGACAGAGAGAGACGGAAGTTTTAAAAAGGAGAGGAAGAAGAGTGTGGACTGGGGAGGGAGGGAGAAGAGAAAGGGGCACACATCTCATTTAAAGTTCATAAAGTAATAATTGCTGAAAACATCCGAAATCTCAGAAAACAAATATTAACTGAAAAGATACCACAAGATTCATGAAAGTTGTCAAAGTCAAAGAAAACGGAAATGTAGAGAGAAATGAGAGGAGAGATGTTTATTATACACAAAGAGAAAATCCTTACAGATGTCCAGCAGACTTCTGAGCAGAAAGCCCTGAGTCAGGAGGTTGTGAAATGGCGCACTCAGCTCTCAGATTTTAAAAAGACAGCCAACTGAGTACACTGTGAGCAAAGCTGCCCTTCATACATCAGGGAGAGTTAGACTGTCCCAGCCATAGAGGTGAGTAACCTTAGCACTGCATCTAGTAGGAAAAACAGCAGAGACAGTTCTGTCTCACCTGGGATTGTGAAGATTCATGTAACCAGTACCTTAAGTCAGTGTGTGCAACATGACACACCACAGACACCACTTCTAGTCATTAGAAAGACAGTTGGCATTCTGATCTTGTTAGTTTGTTTTTTTTTTAAAGGCAGCTGTAGATAAACTCAAGTTTGAAAGAGAGGGCTAGTCTGACCCTAGGCAGGACCCTGTTTATCCATCAACAGAGAGGTGTACCTTGTCACCCACATGAGTGGAAGACCAAAAGCCTAAAGAAGATAGGCTAAGGCTCCTTATAGGGGCAGGATTGACTAGCATAGTTCTCAAGGGAAGCTGGGAGATGTAGTCTTTCAGCAGGAAATTATCAGGTCTTAGCTATGGCACTATCTGATTGTGTATGATCTTGGGCAATATATTTTAATTTCTGAGCAGTTTCCAAACAATTTATATTTTCCCTTGAATATTATATGTGCTCATGACATTTTATCTTATTGTAATAAACTTATGGATACAAATGCAACATGAAAATACAAAATTTCAAATGCTTTTTAGAAATTATTTTTTGCATAAAAGTAGGAAGACTATCTACAAAATTTTGAGAAAAAGGAACCTTCTAAAATACAAAGTGCAATCCAAAGACAGTCTTGCATAATGGTTTGAGGCAGTTTTATTTCCTTCAGTTAGTTAACTTCCAGCTTCCCTGGTTTTCTCACATTTACCTTCCTTCATTATTGTATTTAGTGACACTTCCCACACTGCTGGCTGTCTACCCTCTGAGAAGTCTGCTGCTAACTGCACAGACGCTCCTATTAGTCCACTGCCTGGGCAGAGCCTAGAGGGGGAGTCATCTTCAATCAGGGCTCTATAAACTTATAACAAGAGGATGTATGCAGTGTGTGTTAAAACACAGATTTATAGAGCCCAGTTCTTCATCTTCAGAATAGTTCAGTTGAAAGTGAACAAAAAAGGCTACCGAGAGAAAGAGATTAATATTTTGTAAGTCCTAATTCAGGAAAATCCCAAGGAACTAACCAACTAGAAAGTGAGTTGAAAGGTCTCTCAGTTGTTCAAATACAGGAACTTAATTATTTTAAGAGGATCATTTCATATAAAACAAATGAATATTATCATTATTAGTTGAACACTTAGGGTCCTAGTTGATGTCTGTGACTTCCATTACCTCCAAAAACCATGTAGATATCCAGGATCTGGTTAGGCACCTGAGACCATGTGGGTGTCCAAAGGCCATGCTGCTACCAGGGCCATACTGATCTGGGTGGCCTGTGCTGTTACCAGAGTCATGGCGATGCCTGGGTCCCAGTTGCTCCCAAGGTTTATGTCTGGGTCCATGGTCCTGTTGCAGCTAGGTCTGAGATGACAATGTTCATGGCCTGAGTTACCACTGTGTTACCATGGGGATCTTAGGAACCAAATGTGTTGAAATCTGAGGGCCCTGTTGCCTTGGCCCTGCCTCTCCCTGATCTTGGGATAGCTGGTCCTGCCGTTCCCTGGATATTGCAGAAGGAGAGCTGGCCCCACAGTCAGGGAAGATGGTCCCCCTCACCCCTCACTACAGGCATGTGCCTCAGCTGGGCAGCACACTAGAGCTGACCCTGTTTTGGAGGGACACAGGTGAGCCGGCACTGAGGTCATGAGTATAGAACAGCTGATCCCCTCTCCCAGTCTGCCATGTGGTGGCACGGGTGAGGAAAAGATGGTTTCCCTCTCCCACCCCTTGCTACCTGCAGTAGGCGAGAGAGCTGGCCCCAGGGTCACGAGGACAGCAGACCGTGCATCCTACCAGCACAGTACAATAGAGCAAATATGAAAAAGGTTATCATCATTATCCACAATGGGCCATTCAGGTTTTAGTTTTGAGTCCCAACGCTTCAAGAGATTTTTTTTTTTTTGAGACAGGGTTTTTCTGTGTAGCTTTGGAGCCTGTTCTGGAACTCACTCTGTAGACCAGACTGGCCTTGAGCTCATAGAGATCCACCTGCCTCTGCCTCCCAAGTACTGGGAGTCACTACTGACTGACTTAAAGAGATTTTTTTTTAATTTTTTAATTTATTTATTTATTAAAGCTTTCTGTCTCTTCCCCGCCACCACCTCCCATTTCCCTCCCCCTCCCCCAATTAAGTCCCCCCCCACTCAGCCCGAAAAGAAATCAGGGTTCCCTGTCCTGTGGGAAGTCCAAGGAACCCCCACCTCCATAATTTTAAAAGATTTATTTATTATGTATACAACTTTCTGCCTCCATTTATACCCACACGCCAGATCTCTTTACAGATGGTTTGGAGCCACCATGTGGTAGCTGGGAATTGAGCTCAGGACCTTTGGAAGAGCAGACAGTGCTCTTAACCACTGAGCCATCTCTCCAGCCCCCTTAAAGAGATTTTTTTTAAGAGATTTATTTATTTATTATGTATACAACATTCCTTTCGTGTATTCTTGCATGCCAGAAGAGGGCACCAGATCTCATTATAGATGGCTGTGAGCCACCATGTGGTTGCTGGGAGTTGAACTCAGGACTGGGAAGAACAGTCAGTGCTCTTAACCTCTGAGCCATCTCTCCAGCCCGCTTCAGGAGATTCTAATATGGATGAATTACACATTTTGTTTGTTTTGAGCAGTTTCTGGCTTTTTAATGATTCATGGGACAATGATTGCCTTATGCCTAATAAAAGTAAAGATCAGAGTGTCTCATTTATAGAACAAGAAAGCAAAGTAATCCTAAAGTGAAGAGAGTTCCTTTTTTTAAAAAAATTATTTGCTAATGATCATTTACTATCTGTCTACCTTTGTCTTTGAGAGGTAAAAATGAAGCCAGAATCAGTTTCAAAATTTCAGGATGCTGATTTTTGCCTTTAAACAGTAGTCACACTGATGCACTGATTCTGACGGAGAGATGACAAGTTTCAAAGTGAACACTGTACATGCGCACATCCCTAACACGTATTCTTGTTTCTAGAGTATGAAAACATATAAGACCATTGGTCTGACATATTTGGTAAAAAGTATCTCTCTTACTTTTGCATTAAACACTACCAAATAGATTACTTTAAAAATGTGTGACTCTTGCCTGCACTAGAATTAACTAAACCTTTTCTTAATATAGCCGGAAAGAGCCTGTGTTTTGCTCAATTTCTTGACACCAGAGAGTGCTTCATTCCATCTCGATTCTGTCTGGACAAGTTCAAATTAGCTGCTGTGCGCTGAGCTCAGATGCCCTTTCTTAACCAAAGGGTTTGGCAAATGGAAAGAACTTTGGCTAAAGCTTTGCCCGAAGCCATGTTTCCATAAATCGCCTGCTGTAGAGGGAAGTGAGGCTTGGACAGATGTTCGTCTCTCTGAGCTTTCTGGAAACGATAACGTAATTGTGTAATTTAGAACAAAAATGCTCTTTGAGAACCAATTCTTCTCCTGTTTCTGTAGACAGGGCCAGAATTTGATTGTATGTCCCTAATGTGTGAGATGCTGATCATTTCGGAAAAGCGAAAGTGAGTTATTAGAAAAGGCATATGGAAAATGAGACACTTGTGCATTTAGTCTAGCAGAAATAAGTTTTTCTTCAGAATGTTGTGAACTGTTTGATAAGATTTAGTAATGTCATTGCAGCCCAGTGTCAGGGATGTTAAGGACTCTCATGCCCGCAGGCAACAAGTGCTTGGAGCAGCATGCTTACCCTCCCTGTTCTGACACCAGTTGGCCCAGAAAACACGGAGGGGAAAATGACTCATTCGACATCCTAGCGAGGGTTGCTAATAGATAGGATGTGGCCAGGTGCCCTTTGGTGAACAAGCCAGTATTCTTTGCACTAGAGCAGGCCACCTCAATCAGTACTTCATAAGGATGTAATGGGTTCCTGGAGACTAAAATTTGTGTACCTGTCCGGTCACCAACAGAACTCAAGTTAAAACTAAAATCCAATGTGTAAGACAGATTTAAAAAAAAAATAGTTCAAAGCCAGAAGAGTCAAAGAAAAAGCACATGAATATATATTCATATATTCATATGCAGAAGCCCATATTCACACAAACAGAAATTCCAGGCAAATAAAAATTTTGAAACTGTAATATATAAGCAAAAGGATTGTAAGTTAAGCAAAATCAAAAGGAAAGTTCAAGAAAAGCATTATGAGACCAAGAACCACCAAAAATACTACTGAGTTTCTTTTGGGCTAATCATCTACTGTTGGGCACGGGCCCGCCCTGTGGCTGTATATTGAGTGAGACTCAGTTTTAGGAAACTAATTTCACTTTCCTGAGAAGCTATCAATTTGGGTGATAGCTTCTGGGTTGCGTCTTCTTCCCCTCTCAGCATCGAGATCCCATCTGGCTTAGCCCTGTGCAGGCCCTGTGCATGCCACCACAGTCTCTCTCAGCTCACACGATGTCTCTCAGGATTCACACGTGTGTCGGTTCTGTTGTGTCTAGAAGACTCATTTCTTTGATGTGTTCCATCTCCCCAGGTTCTCACAATCTTTCGGAATCCTCTTCTCTAGAGTTCCCCGAGCCCCGAGGTGAGGGATTTAATGGAGACATTCCGTGTAGAACTGAATGTTCTAAGGCACTCACTCTCTGGACATTTCCCAGTTATGGATCTCTGGATTTGTTTCCATCTACTGTAGGAGGAAGCTTCTCTAATGATCGCAGAGCGAGGCATGATCTGTGAATGTAGCGGAATGTCATTAGGAGTCTTCTATTGCTATGTGTCTTTAGCAGAACAGGAGTTTTGTGCTTTCCCCTAGATACATAGCCTGTCTGACTAGGTTCTTGGTCACTAAGGCAATGTTGGGCTGGATTCCGTTTCATGGAGTGGAATCAAATCAGATAGCAGTTGGTTACTCCCACAACATTTTGTGTCTCTATTGCACCAGAGTATCTTGCAGGCAGGTTATCATGAGAGACTCCATGGACTTCCCTGCAAACAAGCCCCTAATCTTTCCTCCATCATGAAAATCATCACTAGCATGTGACATGGTAGGGGCCGGAGACGTGGCTCATTGTGTAAAGTGTTTGTCATGAACACATTAAGACCTGAATTTGAGCGTTTTGGCAACTAAACCTAATTGTAGCACTGGATGGAAGACAAAGACAGGAAGATTTCTGAAAAGTATGAACCAGTCAGCGAGCTTTATGTTCAGTGAAAATCCCACCTCAAAAAATAAGGGGGAGTGTATTGACCTCTAGTGTCTGCCACCTGTGTGTGTGTGTGTGTGTGTGTGTGTGTGTGTGTTGTGTGTGTGTGTGTATGCGTGTGTACGCTTGCCAAGTCTGAATTAACTTCATTTGCAACCCTTTTTCCTGGTGTTCATTTAATCCACTGGCTGATGTACATTATCTCATTCTATCGTTTTGTATTGTCAGGAGCAGCCAAATATCCTAGCATAGATCTATCCCTCTATAGCCTGAAAATCTGGGGGATTGGAATTCTCTGAAGCATCATTTATCAGTAAAAGAGTTCTACAGAGATTCCCCTTCAGCTATGATCATATGATGTAAGCTGAGGGAAAAATGTTTACTCTTTACATTTTCTTTCAATTTTCTAAAAATGTGTCGATTTCCACAGCATTCCACAAGGCGGCCTATACATTCCTGATGATAACAATCATTAACTCACAGGTGAAACACTCTTGCCCCATGAGTTAATATTTCACTGACTGTCGGTTGCCCCCTTCGGATAATTGGGTTCACTGCAGAATACCCCTGAGTCATAAGCCCAATATCCTTTCAACTGTCTTGCTATGGTATAAGGCTGGGTGGCTCAGATGTGTCTTATGTGACATAGGGCATTTTTCTGCTCCAGTTATAAATCAGACTTTTTGGTGTTATGAAAAGACTATAGTCTAGACACTGGCAGAGTTGTATCAGTACTGGTTTTCACAGCATTCTTTCAAAGCCTTCTCAACAAAAACAACTATATGAACACAACACAATACAGCATACACACACACAGATTTCTACTTAGTCAGTGAAGTTTGGGGGAGGAATTTATCTTTTTGCTATCTACCGTGTACACCTAAAACAATACTTTTCAACAAGATGGCTATCGAGCAACCAGAGCAGGGACGTGTAGAGAATGTGAACACAGAAGGCAGGTTCTGTAGAGAATGACTCTGGACCTAAGTGTTTGCCTGAAGAGCTTCCAGACTCCCCAAGAAGAGCAATGAACACCAGAACCTGGACTGAGAACTGAGGAAAGTCAGAAGTCACAACGCTCCTTCTGCCGATAGTCATATACAGAGAAGTGCCAGGATCTGCAGAGCCTTGCTCATTCAGCTGAGTGCAGTCAAGGTGAGAGGCAGAATCTCTAGTAACAATGTTTGGAGTTGATAAGTGGGTGGAAAAACGTGCCCTTTCTTGCATAACCAGATTGGGAAAGCTGTAGGAGGCCACAGAAGTGAAGCCATTCCACCTTGACTAAAGGTCAGGGAGTTGAGACCTGTTCTTGCTTCTTCAAGGTTAAAGGATGGATGCTTGACCTAAGGTGTGGCGGCTACGAGATGTTTTTCCTAGACAAAAGGATATTTGGACCTAGGGTGTGGTTACTTGATATTTGGAGTGTGAAGAGGAAACTGCTTCGTTCCTTCTTGGAATCCTGGCAAAGAAGTCTTTTGCCTCCCCCTCTTTTTAAATTGGGGTCTATAAGAACCTTGAGGCCAGGCAGTGGTGGTGCAAACTTTTAATCTCAGCACTGGGGAGGCAGGGGCAGGCGGATCTATGTGAGTTTGAGGCCAACTACAAGAGCTAGTTCCAGGACAAGCTCCAGAGCTATAGAGAAACTCTGCCTTGAAAAATCAAAAATAGAGTAAAAATAAATAATTAAGTAAAAATAAAAAAAGAACCTTGAATAATAAACTTGTGGTTGATCACAGTGCTCACTGAATGCCCTCCCAATTCTATCTGTTGTCTCTTGTCTATTTCTTTCTTAATCCTCCTCCCTTCCCCCAAGTATGGATGAATAAATTGGGCAAGATTTCAAGAAGTGTACCTCAATGTGGAACCTAAAAACATGGGTCCACAAGAGAAAGTGCCTCACTTATACAGCATTATGTTGAGTGCTGGGGATTTTTCACCTCAGGAGGGGAGTAAAATCAATCAAATGGCGTTCTACTGCCTCTAAGAAAAGTTTAATAGCAAAACCCCCAGGCTCAAGCTGTTTCTGAGCTCAACTGCACCCTAAGACAAAGCTCTGATATAAATGAGAACGTAAACATTCTGTGCAGTGTGTTGGGCTCTCAAACTTATGTAAAAAAATCCCCAAACTGGTCATATTCAATAACAGAATTTTATTTTGTTACAGTATTTGGATGCCAGAAGTCCAAACTCCATGCTCCCTGGTGTGGTGGTGGTAGGGGGAGGTTACTTGTGGTCTTGTCCAGTTGAGGGTGTATTCCTACCCAGTGCACACGTGTGTGTGTGTGTGTGTGTGTGTGTGTGTGTGTGTGTGTGTGTGTGTATACGTGGCTGGGGGTGATCTTGTCTGGCTCCTGGCACCCCAGGTACTCACAGGATTGCAGGTGCATTTCTTGGAGACTCATCGTTTAATGTGGCACCCCCCAATTCCCCACTCCCACCCCCCATTACCACACTACTGCTTTTCTCTGTCTGTGTCCTCAGATGGTCTTTCTTATGTATTTCTATCACTATCTAAAGTCCCCTTGTAAAAGGCTGATATCTTGGTTAGGTAGCATCCCCTAGGATCACCTTGAGTTTTTCAATTTTATACTTGTACTTTTGTACCTCTAGGGAACAATTCACTTCACAGTACACATCCAACTTTGTAAATTTTCACAATGTCTGGCATTTAACAAAAATTATTTTGCATGAAAACAAATGTATATACAATCAATGATAAACAAAAAAACCCATCATAAAATCCAACTCTGAACTGATGCATACTTTAAATTCCTGAAACAAGAAATTGTAATAGTTGTGATAAATGTATTTGAAATGTTCAAAGGCTGAAGTCAACATGGATCATATTAAGTAAATAAATTCAAGGTATTTTGAATAGCTCAAATTGATATTTTAAAGATGAATATGATATCTGTGTTGAAAAATGTCTGACTTGATGGCAGGGGCATGCCAGGGAGCTGAGCTTGCATATAAAACACATTCCTGATGGGAAAGAAAAGAAGGGAAAACATGCAGAAAATGAGCAAGTTTTTTTTCAAGTTTTTAAAAAAAAGCCCACAGAATTTATGTGGCAAGATGTCAGAGAGCTGACAGTCATGTGCAGAGAAACTACAGAGATTGTAATGAAAAACTTATAGATCCCAGAGGTTGGACAAGTCTCAAACATAACAGTCACAAAATAACTGCCCTGATCAAATTGCTCAAAAATAGGAATTCAGAAAAAAAAATCATAAAAACCAGACAAGTACAAATGATGAGGTCTGTACCAAGGAACAAAGGATACAGAACACGTCTTGTGAAGAACCCTCAAGTCAAGCTTACAAGACTAGAACATTGTGACTACAGTGACATTTCCAAAGTTTGTACTTAAAATGTGGTGGCTGAAAACAACTAGAAAAATAAGAAAGTCTCCAATTAATGACTTCATTTTACAGCCTAAGAATCTAGAAAACTAATTACAATCAAACATCAGGAAAGCAAAAGTGAGAATTGTAATTAACAAAAGCAAAGTTGTTTGTCCTAAAAGAAAACGTTCACAAATATCTAATCAAATTAACCTAATGCGATAAGATATTTAAAGGAGAAAATGATCAAAGTAAGTACAAAATGAATGAAGTCTCCCTTTAAAAAAGGAGACAAAGACTTTAAAAGAGACAGGACACGAAAATAAAGCCTCCTTTCCTGAAGACCATCACAAGGAATGTAAATAAAGCTGTTCAGAATGACAGAAACATGATACCAGTTGAACACAAAGGAATTAAGAAGATTAAACTCGTAAATAATTCAGGTAGAATATGTAAGAGGTTGCAAAATTATCATTTACATTAATTGAAAAGAAATTAGCTATTAAAAATACCAGTGCAGCTTTATGTCTATGATATGTATAAGCAACATATATTTTTTGCACACACACACGCAACATTAACAAAAATTCAAGAAAGAACTAATGGAAACGTATGATGGAAAGTGTCTTGTGTTTACATCTCTGAAGTGTTTGAAAGCACAGAATACAGTGAAGTCAAAGCCTACAGAAAAACAGAATTGAGGTCATTCAAGAGAATAAAGATTAAGCAATCTATCAGAACAATCTCAGATGAAGAAGACAACTGGAAAAGAGGAGGAGGGAGAAGAGGAGGAAGTAAACAAAGGACAGATGAGGAAAATGTAAACCAAAGTACAGAGAGTTAAGTTTAAACACATCATTATGTTAAAAGTCATTGGTCTGAAAGTACAGAGAAGATGTTACTGGAGATGTTCAAATTGAATAGAAACACATATATTATAATATGCATTTACATGCTATAGTACACATGGAGTATATATGTTCCAAATTATATATTATATATAATTATTCCATATTATATGAATATATAGAGCTCAATCTAAATTGCAGATTAAACCTAAAATGATAGAAAAAGGAATGAAAGCTGATACGACTAAGAAGGAATCCCTGAGAGCTATGGTACATGAGGATAAAGTGTCATTCACAACAAATAATACCCTTAGGGATAATGAAGGTACTTTGTGGGATAAAGGTTCAATTACTCAAGAAGACATACCCATAATTTGCAGCAGAGTTGCCAAATGAAAGAAGTTGGAAAGTTGATAGAAACACAAGGAGAAAAACACATTTAGCTGAAGGTTTTTTTTTTCCTTTTATTGAAAATAGATATTTTCCTCATGAGTATGGAGCCTTCCACTGGAGCATGATTGCTCACTGATGGTATTGTACAGGAGACTTTTACTAGATAGACACAATACACATATCATCTCTTTATCTCAGTAAGGGAACCCATGACCTACCAAGATAATGACTGTACCAAAGTCCAACTCAATGAACCAATGAACTTATGGGACTATGGGTTAGGTATTACTATCTAGTTACGGTAGAAGGGCAAAGATAATAGTGGTAACCTGTGTGATTTTGAAGGTCTATGGTAGTTTGTATGAGGACTGTCACCTATAGACACATGTATTTGAATACTTTGTTTTCAGTTGGTGGTGGTGCTATCTGGGATTGCTATGGAAACTTTAGGAAATGTAATCTTGCTGGACAAAGTACACCACTGGGGGTAGGTTTTCAGGGTTGATAGCCTCACCTACCTGCTGGCATTTTTGTCGCTTCCTGTGGATGGTTGAGATGTGAGCGCTCAGCTTCCTGCTTCGGCCGCCAAGGCTCTGTGACTGTTGCTATGTCATCTTCACCACTATTGACTCCAGGCCTCTGGACACATAAGGTGAAATGAACTTTCTTCCTTTTGTTGCTTCTGGTCATAATAATTTATTTCAGCAATAGAAAACTAACTAGCACAGGGACTCTAGTCCCTGTGACCAACAGCTCCTAGGGAGGCTTCTCACACTTAGCCCTTGGCTGCTGTTTTAAAATGCTATGATTTCTGTAATTGGCATTGCCCTTTGAGCTAGATATTGACCCCAGGGAATCTGTTTTCTTTGTTTGCAAAATAGAAGTCATCCCAACATTGCCTAACAGTCACATAACACCCATGAACATCCATCTCATGCAGTAAGTACTTGATAAATACAAGTGGTTATGGATAGAAATAGAAACATTTACCCTGCTGTCTCTTGCTATTCTTGGACATTGTCTTTGTATCTTACAATAAAGTTATAAAATTAGACAGAAATATCTGGGTGGGGCATCATGTTTCTTTGTAAATGTTTAAGTATATGGTGTCTCAGAATTCCTGAGTACTACCATTCATGCTTGCTCATTAAATGAAATTAAGAAATTTGCAAAGCTTTTCTTCCTTTTACACTTGGAGAAATTAACTCAGATATATGAAGTAACTTTGAGTCCATGTAGTCTTTGCAGTACTTAGCTATTTGCTGCTGTAACTAGATAACTGTTAGCATAAACCATTTAAAAGCAGAAGGGTTTCTTTCAACTTACAGTTTTAGAAGGCTGAGCTCATACTCGCTTGGCTATATGCTTGTGTAGAATCTGTATGGCAAAAGTACATGACAGATGCTGATCTTCACTTCTTCATAGACAGAGAAACAGAGAGAGACACAAAAGACCAGTGACAAGATTCTCTCAGTGATGGAATCTCATTGACCTACTTTCTCCAGCAACATCCTATCTCTGAAATTTCCCTGAACCTGCCCAAATAGCACCACGAGCTGGGGACCAAGTGTTCAAAGGATGTGCCTAGCCTGAGAGTGCATATCTAGACCACCCTAGATGCAGTGACTAACATGTCTGACTGTGGGGTTGTAACCAGGTGCTCTCCCTTGTCGAGGGATAAAACACTCCCCGTTACTATAACATACATGCAGAGGAGGCACAGATGCCATCAGAAGGGTCTAGCCAACGTTCCTTTACCAGTTCTGGTATTTCTGCTCCACTCCTCTCTATTTTACCCAGAAGCCATATTCTGACACCCGGACAATACACTTACTGATGAACTTCACCGCTGCCACAGCCAGGAACATTCACTGCACACAGCTACTTCATAAAGCCAGGCCAGCAGACCTCGGTGTATTTTCCATGTGATGTATTTTTCAATGAACACGGTAGCAGGGGGAGACTTGACTGCCCCTCAGCAGTCACTGTTTGTCAGGCCCTTCTTTTCTCTGCAGAATTAAGCTCTCATTCACTTGTAAGGAAGCAAAAATTAAGCAGAAACAAACCACTTGAAATAGAACACGGACTAGAAGAAACACACTTTGCTGTTCTCATCAGGGGCGCCACTGGCCGCAAGAAGACAACTGAGTTGCTGTCTGGCAGAGCACAGCCTGTGGCAGACAAATAAAAAACAATGAGGTCACACAGAAGTACCTCATTATCCAGAGCTCAAAAATAGAAGCCTGACAGCACGGGGTGGTGCGATAGCAAGAAGAACGGGGTTGGAAGTCCAGACATGTGGGGTCCATTTCCAGTCTCATTGCCAGGCAGATGCACAGTTTCACTCCGTTCTTCCTTTGACCCCAATTTCTGTGTTTACGAACACATAAAGAAGAGATAATTTTATATGCTGCCTATAGCCTTTTCCAGATTGGCAGTCAATCAATATATATTTATTTAACACCTATTAGGCGCCAGCAACTTTATTATGTGCTAGGAGCACATCAGCAAATAAAACTGACTTGATCCATCCCTTTATTTCAGCACAAAGAAAAAAATTCAAGGAGTAGCCTGTCCTGGGAGTCACAGGACCTCAGACACCATCCTGAGGAGTAACAGTGCCCAGCAGCTGTCCTGCTGTGCCCAAGATGAACTGTAGATTTGTGTTAAAATTATGACTTTGCTGATCCTTTGCACCACATGCTGGTGATTGGATCTTGCTGGAGTGACAGCAATCACATCTTGACCACTCTCCCTGTTTCCTTCCATCCTGAGGCCATTTGTATTACCATGAAAGTCTCACTGGCAGGCCCCATGCCCAGGAATAGTAGGAATAGTTGCCCAATGTAAAACAAACAAACAAACAACAACAAAAAAATCTCCATTTTTTCTTTTTGTTTTGTTTCAGCATTGTTTTGTCTGTTTTGTTTTGTTATCAGCGTGCGAGAGAATATGATCATGACATTGGGCATGTAGGGAGGTGGAGAGGAGTTGAAGGAGGCGGACAGGGGGAACATAACTAAAATACATTGAATGAAAAAAAAACTATAATTTAAAAAAATATTGTTCTCAGTCTTCCAAGTGATTGTTGTCAGTATCATTCCTTTTTCAAGACTGCACTTTCTATCTTTCTTGTCTGAACACACAAAGACAAGATATATCATATATCTATATATACATATATATATAAATTGTGTTCTACATTTGGGAGGAGTCAGCTTACTCATATCAAAGATTATAGCCTGTGTCCCAGTCTGACTGTGCCGCAGCAGCACAATGGGACCCTCAGCGAGCAAAGGTGTCCTTATTTGCCTGAGTTCTGTGTGAGCCAGGATCTGGGGAGTAGTGAGCAGAAGAGACTGCACACACTCCAACACATCCCCCTTCCCTGTTGCAAACTGCAGTACCCCACAGGGCAAAGTCTCAGCGCATACCAGAGGATTGTTGCTTTAGCCATAGAACTTGGTAGATATGCAGATTCTTAAAGCTCCCGGGTACCTCGGAGGATGGGAGCTGAGGGAGCTCTGGCTTCTCCAGAATTCTTACACATACTAAAGTAGCAGGTCCAAATCATTACGAGACGCTACTTTATAGACTCTGAGGAGAGACTGACTCATTGTGCATTTAATAAAAATGTGGCTATTTAACCAATGCCAAAACACTTGGGCAGGGCTCTCCACTGGTTGATAAAATCCTAAAACGAAGCCAGTGCAGAGGCAACAAGGAAGCAAATGCCAAAGTTTTAAAGTTGCCCTGTTTATCACAGCCCCATCTGTAATCATTTGCTCCACTCCCAGTGACAAGTAGCAAAAACAAACACTCGCTGATGTCACACAGAATGACCCGCTCCCTTTTGCTATAGGATGGGCAAGGGTATGGAGGTATGAGTGTAATCCCTGTAGACAATACTCTTTAGTTTATAGTGACGCCACGCTATCAATCTTTTATCACTAGTTAGATGCTTTAGTCTTTATCTGCTGGTTACTGTGGCCCTGCTTTGTGGAATAAGTATTGTGAAGTTACACCAAGTCTTCTAAAGCACTGTCTTTTCGTTCAAATCTCCAGCCGTGTCATAGAGAAACCCACGTTGAAATACAATTGTGCCATCAGGAGTACACAGCAGCTGTTGTCAAACCAAATAAACTCTAATTCACTTTTTCTGGGCTTTGGGAGGCTTCCTGGAGGCCTTACTATGTTAGCTGAGGCTGGTTGATCGGGGTAAAGGGGCAAGAAGACCTGGATGGGGAGTGAAGTAAACAGACAAGCATTAGGAACCGTGCCTACTGTGATGTATGAGGGGCCAGCAAGAGTGTCGCTGTGGGCTGGAAGGTGTTTAGTCCAGATGGGGCATAGAGTACAATTCAGGAAGAAGGGAGACGATGACTTCAGACACAAGGTAGAGAGTTTTGAAAGTAGGCTAAGCCGATCTCAAGTATTTGAACTGTGTTCTAAAGAAAGACAGAGAGATTAGATTGTTTTGGGGGCGGACAGGTCAGCCAGAGAAGTGAAGGGTTTTAAGACAGTGAAACAGCCACAGTTTTGCTTCTGTTCGGAAAGATTAGTCGGGCTCCACCGCGTGTGATACTTGGAGTCGAACAAGACTGCAGACACAGAAGCCAAACCAAAACATGGGATATTTAACGAAGCTTCGGGTATAGAAAGGTTGAATTAATGTTAAAATCCCGTTGTCTTTCTTTAATATCCAATGTTAGCTGGGGTGAACTACCCAATGGTGGTAGCAGGGGATAGCTTGGGGATGGGTAACGGAGATGGGTTGCAGAGACAATGAACTGAAGAGCGGGGGTTCAGGGCAAGGCTGAGGATGAGGCATTGACTCAAAGAGCAGTGATAACACGACCTGGGGAGACCCTTGGAAGCCAGAAGACTCTTGCTCTTCAAGGGTACAGTGGAGATGACCACCTCAGCCCTGGATGACCCATGGTATTTCTATGTAAACTGGACAAGAATGCATGTATGTCCACATTACTACATATTCCCTCTGCTTTCTCACTCCAAGAGAACTGCCAAACACACAGAAGCACTAAGGACATCCTGACATACAATGTTTAATGATGTTGGCCCAGGAAGCAGGACACCTACTACTGTCTCCTGTAGATGTACAAGGACATTACTAAAGTATAAAAGACAGGCTAGCCTGCCCAAGAGTCCCCAACCTGGTACTCCATACAAATTATCTGAACCTCACTGTGCAATTCTTTCCCTCCAATGCATTTTCAAACTAAGATGGGTAATGTAGCATTTAAATAGACCAGTTACAGGCAAGAAGGAGGGCAAAGACTGGACATGCAACCGAAGTACATTAAGTGTCCCTAGCCTCGGAGAACAGTTCTGTCTGGTTAACATAGGACTTGTTTTCCCTTGGGTAAGAGGATGTATTCTCCTTGGTCTTGTTGGAGGGGAACACACACTCTCAAAGTCAGGGCTCACACCATCAACGAAGCTTTATACAGGTGAAAAAGTTTCATAGTGTAGAATTTTCCTGAGCTTTGCAATTCACTGGCACATTTCATGGTCATGCTCACATTAAAAAAAAAAACCTATTAATTTTAACAGGAATTTCTTAAGGAAACTTAATATTTCTCCAATTTTACTGCGGGTGGGGGAGGTTTTAGAACAGTTCAAGCATGGAGTCGGGAGTCCTTAATCTTTTGGCTTACTGAACTTGATGATGGGACAAAAGCCCATCTCATCCTGAAGCCTCACCTTCAATCTGGAGTGTAAATCTTTTTCTTTTTGGACAACACTGTCCAAAAGAAGGATCAGGTTGGAAAGTGAGGTGGTGGAAAGGCTTTGTATATGACCAGAATCATATATAGTAATTAAACAGAGGTATGTTTAGATAATAGAGATGAAATCATTGCTATGTAGAGCCATTATAGCTTATATGTTTGTTGGAATGCCATTGAAAAAGAAGAGTCAAGACTCAGATGCTATTTTCCTGGAGCGAGGCACATCCCATCACTCTTCACTGGATCATCTACCTAAGCTAACCACATACTTCTTTATAATACTGCAGGAGAAGTGTTGCATACCAACTCTGTAGGACAGAAGTAAGCACAAGGTTATGGCATCAAGGTTATTTGCTACCCAAGGGAGCCAAAAGCAATGAACCAGAATGCTGGACATGAGCCAAATCCCTACCGTTTATTAACATTATTCAAAGCTAATGGATCCAAGTATGCATACCAATTTTAGAAGAAAGAAGCCCATGCCATGGGGATGAAATCAAGGGTTAAGTGCTAGGTGTAAGGTGGTATGGCACTAGATCAACAGACAGAACCTGGAATTTGGTACTGGAATACTCAACCTTCCTCCCTCCCCTCTCTTCCTCTCTTTCCTTCTTTCCATTCCTCCCTATTCCTCCATCTCTTCTTTCTTTTTTCCTTCCTTCTTTCTTTGCCAAAATTCTGTCTCACTTTTTTTGCAAAAGCATATTTGTTTTTATTTATCGCATAGCAATCATACATATTTATAAGTACAATATGACTTTCAATAACTATCCAATGTATCAAGATCAGAACCATGTACCATGCATATCTGCCACCTCAGATGTATCTCTTTATATTGAGACTATAACATCCTTTATGAACCTTGTGGAACTGTGACTTTCTTCTTAGTTTTAATATGCTGCTGTGGTACAGAACATCAGAAGTTATTCTTACCCCCCTGCACCCTGTGCTGTTAAAACAACATGGCACCCCTTCAGGGATTCCTTGACCACACATTTCCTAGGTTCTGATGATCCTTCATTCCTTAAGTCCAATGATTTAAGCTCTCTACATGTGAATCAAGCTATGCCATCTTCTCCAGCTGCTTATTTCCCTGTAGGATGGTGTCCTCCAATTCCATTCATGTTGCTGCAAATGGCAGCATCTCAACTCATCTTTATGACTGAAAGAATATTCCACTGACTTCAGTTTCTCTGGGCAGACATGCAAAGTGGAGGTAGTAGGTCATAAGGAGTTAGATTTCTAACATTTTAAAGGAAAATGCATGCTGTTCTCCACAATCTAAGCAGCTCCATTTTATTCCCATCTTACCAGACATTATTATTTCCCTCTTATTTCTAGTAGCTGTTCTAAGTGGGATTAAGATGCCATGGTCATAATGAGCATTTTTGTG